GGGTTCGAGAATATTTTTTAAGCTTACCCTCGCAACATTGTAATCCATAGAAACATCAAGCCAAGTTTCAGTAATTTGAGTGAAAGCTATTTCAAAATATTTCTTTCGACAAGGATTTCATTTTAAACGGTTCGGTGTGGTTTATTTTGCAATTTTGCTAAAACGTTTTTTGAGAAGATAAAACCCACAAACAGCGCCGCATTCTTGACCCTAAAGGTATTTTTATCTGGTGTAATCCATTAGCTTTGCAGGCATTAATTTTTAGACGCTCGGCGTCGACGGATTCTGGCTGGGCGGTTCTTACGATGGAAAGGGGAAGACGTGTGGACGATGGCACCAACGCCACTTATGCTAATCTGGCCTCAGGTTTGCTAACGTGCCATCGATCTCCAGGAAAGACAAATCCAAAATTTTTCTGGACGCCCAAGTACAATACCATGTAATTCCCTCTACCACACATGCGACGCAGCCGCTGCGCTTTTTATCATAACCTAAAACCTCGAATCACGCATGGCTTCCTGGGTTCCTTAAACACACATGAAATTCAGCGGGTACTTCCGGAAACCTTGGTGATGAGCCTGTCGACGGGAAAGCGGAGTAACCGCCGCCTGGAATGACAGGGTACCCGATTATGTGCATCGGGAAGAAATCGGTAGGGCGGATCTTTCTCCTCACGCTCTTTCCTTCTCTCTCTCTTTCTCGCTCTATCTCTCGCGCCTCCTGTCGCCTTCGCTCTCCCTTCTGGCTTCCCCTGAACAATGCTTTTGAGTTTCAGAATGGCCCGTAACTCCCGCCAAAAGTGCGAGACCGAGTGGAGGTACGCGACAGTGACGAAGAGCTGGTACAAGGTAAGGCGCCACACTTCTTTATAGGTATGCTGGGTTGGGCTCGTTTATCATGTCGACTTCGCGAACGCCGAGGGAGCAATGTCGAGCCCCGGGCGCTACCATCTCGTCTGTGACTCTAATGAGGAAAATAATTTGATTGTTGGTGAGTTGGAAGGCCTAAAAGCTATTATTTATTCACAAAATTGTCGCCAAATTTCTGAAATACATTTATGCGCCTATTAGGATTTCGCGAAAACTGCATACTCTGGTGACCTGATGTTTACCGCTTGGTCGGAGCTACGAGTGGGTATTATTTTTTATGAATTTGAGCTGGGCATACCTCAATTTCTACGAAGTTTTAGACCGGCGCCAACGTCAACGACTTTGCGTGGCTAGACGGAAGCCCTTTCACCTTTTACCCGTGGGCCAACGGTGAGCCAAATAATGCTGGAGGTCGCGAAAGCTGTATCGAGGTACGTTCTATTCGCTTGATACCGACCGCGATTGTGTTGTGTCGTAGCGATTCCTGGCATGCGAGGGCCACACTTTTAGATCTACACCGACGAGCTCTCCGGCAAGAACGCACCGAAGAGCCCCTATTTGCATATGTGGAACGACGTGGATTGCGATAGTCACCACCGTGTCGCCGTCTGCAAGAAGGCATCGCTTTATTGACGATTTGGAGTGGAATAAATCCGATAGCTTTTGCAGTGGTCACATTGAAAAATGTTGCATTACAAAAAACCAGAAAAAATACCTTGTAATTCGGATGGAAATGAAAGCCCGAAAAAACGATAGGAAGAAAGGGAAAGAAAAGAAAGAAGAAAGGCTTTATTTTACCCTCCCCTTGCCGCAGGTTCGCAACCTTATTTATTTACTTGCTTACTTATTTTTTGTACATTAATCTGAGCTGCGATTCAAATTCTTAGTATATTTGTTGATGATCTATCAAATGGCTATCTAAATCCCGACGAAATCACGACCAAAAAATTTTTGGAGAGCCATCCGCAACCACCCTCCCGTCAAGTCTGGCAATTTTCTAAGATGAAAAATAGCGTAGAAGCATTCCCTTTTCCATTTCAAGCCGCACTTGGCGTTCAAAAAAAATGGCAGCGCTGTTTAATACAAAACACCTGGGACGACGCTTTTTTGGTTTTCGACGGGCGCCACAAAAACATGAAAGAAACCCGCTGGAAATATTGACGATCGTCGCTATGAATAAATTTTCGCCAAATGCGTCTTTCCGACCTTCAACCCTCGCTTTTTGATTCATGCAAAAAATCGAAGATCAAGGGAGGGCATCGGCTCGATTCTACCTGAACCATTTCTGAAAACAACCG